TTTTGGTGCTCCTACATACATATTGGTAAAAGTAATGTCTTCTTGGTGGATTGTCCCTTTTATTATGTAATGTCTATCTTTGTTCCTTTTACTTTTTTTATCTTGAAGTTTGCTTTCTTTTGCATTCTGTTTGTTTTGAGTATCATCTTTCACCCCTTTACTTTCAGTCTATGTTTGAGTCTCCTGCAGGCAGCATATAGTTGGGTCTTATTTTTTAATCCATCCAGCCACTCCGTGCCTGTGCCTTTTGATTGGTGAGTTCTTTCTGTTTACACATAGGGTAAGTATTGATACATAAGGGCTTACGACTGCTATTGGCTGTCTGCTCTATATTGGCATTATTTCTTTTCCTTTGTGTTTCTGTCTGCCATTTTATTTTGGTGGTTTTTTTATCATGTTTTTCTCAATTTTTTTTTTTTGTTTCATGTCTCTGCTCTAGATTTTTGTTTTGTGGTTATTAAGAAGTTTGTATAAAATGTCTTGTGGATAAAATAGTCCCTATTGTGCTGATAGTGTCTTATCTTCATTTGCCTATACAGGTTCTGTTCTTTTATTCCTCTTTTATGTTTTTGTTGTTACAAATTATTCCTTTGTATCTTGTGAATTCATTATCAAATAGAGGTAGTTATAATTATTTTTAATGGTTTTCACCCCTTTAAGCTTTTTGCTGTACTTCAGTGTTTGACACTCTTGTCAGAAATGGCATCACTCTAAGTTTGGCGTACTTGTGTTTTTCATTCCTGGTGGAAGAATTCTTTTCACCATTTCTTGTCAGACAGGTGTTGTGGTGAACTCCAGACAGGTGTTGTGGTGAACTCCCTCAACTTTTGTTTGTCAGGGAAAGCCTTTATTTCTCTGTCATATCTAAAGAATACCTTTGCCGAATAGATTATTCTAGGATGGCAGTTCGTATCTTTCAGTGTTTTGAATTTGTCGTACCCTGTGGTGTTTGTGCTGAGAAATCTGCTTATAACCTAATGGGGATACCTTTGCAGGTTACTCTCTTTTTTGCCCCCCTGCTTGCTTTTAAAATCTTTCTTTATCATTGACTTTAGACAGTTTTAATGTAATATGCCTTGGAGAAGGTCTTTTTGTGTTGATAAGTAGGTGTTCTGTTAGTTTGCGGATTTGGATACCTAGTTTGTTCCCTGTTTGGGGATATTCTCAGCCGTTATTTGAACAAGCACCCAACTCTCTTTTCCCCTTCTTCGAGATACCCATTATCCTTATGTTGCCTTTTCTAATGGAGTCAATTCTTGTAGAATTTCTTCATTTTTGTCTTTTTCATGTTATGTCTCTCCTTCCACCTGAATCATTTCTAGATTTCTATTTTGAGCTTGCTAGTCCTCTTTTCCATGTGTTCTACTCTATTTCCAGTGCTTTCTAATGCATTCTTCTCCTCACTGAGTTATTCTCCTTCAGAATTTGGTTCCTTTTTAGTCTCTTTGGTAAAGTACTCCTTCTATTCATTAATTTTATTCCTGAATTTATTGAACCGTCATTCTGAATTTTCTTGTAGCTTATTGAGTTTCTTCATGACAGCTATTTTCAGTTCTGTCAGATTGCAGTCTTCCATGCCTTTAATTTTACTTTCTGGAGAATTGTAATTTTTTTGTGTGTGTGATACTATATTACTTCATAGTACTTGATGACTTGTTCCTGGTATATTGGAAGTAGTGAATATCTTTCTGTGTTGCATCTAGTTATATTTTAGAACTAGTGTTTTCTACTCTCTACTGCCTTTGCCAGTGGTGTCACTGGTCCCCTTGTCACTGCTTATGCCTCTGAGATCACTTGCCTTGCTGCTGTCCATGTTGCTGCTTCACCAGTACCTCTGCTATTCCTGGTGCATGTGGTTGGAGATTCTTGGAGACTTAAGTCACAGGTGGCTCTCCACTGCCCTGGGCACTGGGGTCTTGGGTGCTCCACAGCAGTTCCTGGAACCTTAGGCCATAGGCATCACCCCAACTGCTCTGGGCACCAGGGTCTTGAGTGCAGTTCTGGCTGCTGGGAAGGCCGAAGTCACAGTTGCAGTCACCGCTGCTGTCAGAGGTGGGGTCTTATCTGGCTTATGGGAGCTGCAGAGGTTCTCGGAGCCTCATGTCACCACTGCCACTGTCACGGGCACTGGGGTCCTGGGTGCAGCCCTTGCTGCTGGGGTTGCTCAAGTGAAGTTGCCTCCACTATGTGGGGGCTGCCTGGGTCTTGGACACTGCTGTGGTTCCTGGAGCCTCTGGTCTCCAATGGCAAGTGCCTCCATGGCACCTGGATCCTCCAGCCATGGGTGATGCCACTGTTCTTAGAGCCTTAGAAAGCGATGCCCGTACCACTGCCATGAACTCTAAAGTCTTTGGTGCAGCCCTTGTTGCTGGGAGGGCTGAGGTCACTGTCAGAGGAGAAGAGATTGACTAGTTCTCAGGCACTATTGGGGTTCCTGGAGCCTCTAGATGCAGACTCCACCTCGGCTTCTGGTGCCTCCCGCTGCCGGCTCCAGCAATGCTATTACCCTGGCTCTGCAGCCCCCATGAGGCCCAGTCCACCAACCTTCACATGTGCAGATGTGTGGATCTCTCAGGCATCCTAGTGTACTATGCAGAGGATTCTAGGTTGGGCTTTGGATGTCCTACTGGTTGTAATTTAAAAGAGAGAAAAAAGGAAGTATGCTAACATCACTCTGTCATTTTTTTATTGGTTATCTTTGTGCTTGTAACTTTAAAATATTAACAGTTTTTACACTGTACTAAGTGCTATGCTAAATGCCTTATACAGATTGTTTTAATCCTCAGAACTGACCTATGAGGCAGTTCCTATTATTTTCCCCATTTTACTAATAAGAAAATCAACGCATAGAGAGGTTAAGTAACTTGCCCAAAGTAATACAGGAAGTCTGACTTCATAGCCCTTGCTATTTTTTTTGAAAAACTTTGTTGTGGAATAATTAACACACAGTGAACTGCACATATTTTTTAAGTGTACATTTCTTCCCACTCCTACCCACCACCCTCTCCTCAGTCTCCAAGCAACCACTAATCACGGTCTTTTTCTGTAGCCGCTTTCTAGATGTTTGGGGGACGGGGGTTGTGTGTGCGGTTTTGAGCAGTTTTTATGTGTCTTGATATAACTTTTTTTCAATTTATCATATTTTTGGTGTGCTAATCTTGAATTCTGTAAATTTATATTTTTAATCAAATTTTGGAAGTTTTGGCATCATTCAAATATTTTTCTCAAACTCACTCTCTTTCTTTTCTTCTGGATTCCAATTGCATGTATATTGGGTCTTTTGAAAGTTCCACGAGACCCTAAGGTTCCGTTCTTTTTTTTTTTTAATATCTATTTTATTCAGATTGGATAAATTTTGCTGAGCTCTCTTTATGTTCATTAACTTTTTTCTTTGTAATCTCCTTTTTACCAGTGAGCTCATCTAGTGAATTTATTCCACTTATGCTATTTTTCAGTTCTAAAATTTTCATTTAGTTCTTTTTTTATACTTCCTATTTCTCTGTTTATATTTCTTATCTTTCATTCATTTCAAGTGTGTTTTTCTTTACCTTATAGAGTATAGTTATCACAACTCCTTTAAAGTCTTCTTCTAATTCAAACATGCTGCTTCATTTTGGTATCTGTCAGTTGTTTTTTTGCCTTGACAGTAGGTCACATTACCTTGTTCTTTGAGTGTCAGGAAATTTTGGATTGTATCTTGGTCATTGATAGCAGACTCTGGGTTCTGTTATAATCTTATGGGGAATATTGATAAGTTTGTTTTAGTAGATATTCATCCCTATTTGTAAGTTTTTCTCATCTTTCTTCAGCTCTGTCTCTCCTTCCGTCAGCCCAGTAATTCAATTCTTAGTTCTCTGGGCATTTGCTATACCTTTTGGGGGCTGTCTCGTGCATATGTAGTTTAGGAGTTAAGCCGAGATGTGTGAGTAATCATACTCAGAAGTGGGGAATCACTTTCTCTGGATTTCTTCCTGTCACGGTTTCTTCCATTCTCCCCAGTTTTCCTGGTTCCTTGGGCCAGAAAGGTAGTGGGGTTTCTATTGGAGTTTTAGCCACCTTTATTGCTCCAACTGAGGCCTAGCCTCAGTGCAAAGCCATGAAAGGAGAAACAGAATAAAACTGGAAACTCACCTCATGTGGTTTGCTTTTCCAGATTTCTAAGTTTACCTGCTTTTGTTTATTTTTCTCCGTGTATGTGTTTTGATTTGGAGTTAATAGTTATAAAAGGAAGGATGGGCTGTCAGGGAGTTACACCTCCCAATTCGTGTCGTTTTATTTCTTCTTCATACTGGTTTTGTATAGTTTTTGGTGGGTGTGTTGGGAGATTCTAATTTACATAGCCATTATTACCTCCACTATCCTGATAGTCAATATTGAGTTTTTTCTCTTAATTTGGCCTAATACTTCTTTTCCCCTATACTGTTTCTGTGGCATATCATATTGAGTAAGTTAAGAGAAATATGTCATTTTTAGTTTTTGGTAGTTCTGCTATCTATAATATGTGTTAGAAAAATTATATCATAGGAATTTTAAATAAAGACCTTATATTATGGAAACATCTTGCTTATATTGTTTTGTTAATCTGTATTGTAGTTAGGTCAGAAATATTTAAGATGTTAAATAACAAAAGGCAGCCATAGTCGCTGAATTTCAGTGGGGCATACAAGTGGGGAAAAGTTAACAAAATTTCAACATCGTATAAAAATAGTGTATTTTTAAAGCTTGTCTAGATCAAGGACACAAAGGATTTTAATCTCGAAATAGCCACATGATTTTCATATGTGGTTTTATGTAACTATCAAGATTGTCATGAGATGTAAATGTTAATTTTTTTATGCTTGTGTTTAAATGCAGTGGAAGACACTAGTTTTGCCTTTTTCTTTTTTTAATCTCTGGGCAGTTTATATTTATTAATGACCCAACAACACCTAATATGTGGATGGTGCGATATTCAGACCTTAATACTTCATAATATTTAAGTTGTTATTTTTTTCATTTAGATGGTCTTTTGATTGTCGGTGTTCACTCGGCTAAGTTTCCAAACGAGAAAGTCCTGGATAACATTAAGAGTGCTGTTCTCCGCTACAACATCACCCACCCTGTGGTTAATGATGCAGATGCCAGCCTTTGGCAAGAGCTGGAAGTTTCCTGCTGGCCAACTCTGGTCATATTTGGACCCCGTGGAAACATGTTGTTTTCTTTGATTGGAGAGGGACACAAAGATAAATTATTTTTGTATACTTCAATAGCTTTAAAGTATTACAAAGACAGGGGACAGATCAGAGATAATAAAATTGGAATAAAACTCTATAAAGATTCTTTGCCACCTTCACCATTGCTATTTCCTGGCAAAGTAACAGTAGACCATGTTTCTAAGAGATTGGTAATAGCGGACACTGGACATCATAGAATTTTGGTCATCTGGAAGAATGGACAAATTCAGTACAGCATTGGAGGTAAAGTTTTTTATTATGATATGTAATGTATTTATTTTATAGTAATAAAGTTCAAGGAAATATATTAAAATTGAAATTTATAAATAAGAACTAATTATAGAAGGGCAATATACCTTGACTTTTAACTTCATGAAATTATGTTACTAATTAATGGACGGATGTCTTCTCACTCTCTCAGAAAACAAACAAAAATACCACAAACCCCATTCAAGTCAAAAGGAAATCTTGTTAGGATTTTTAAGTATATTTGTATATCCTCTCTCCCCGCCACCACCCAAGAAACTGCCACAGATACTGTGTCTTATAAAAGTATTACAGTAAGTCCTCACTTAACATTGTGGATAGGTTCTGCAGCTTCAAATGAAACAGTGTATATAACGAAACAAATTTTACCGTAGGTGATTTGATATTAAGAATTCAGTTCCTATGGCATGTCATCAACTTTATAACAAAACAACACTGAGCAAACCAACTTAATTTGAGGACCTACTCTGTATAAGTTGTGGATTTGGGACTTTGTAAATGGAAGTACACTATTTCAGTTTCCATCAAAATATAGCCAATATCTTTTTTAAGACCAGTACAATACCCTAGGAACTTGAGACTTAGATTACAAAATAAGTAAACTCGGATTTGTACATAATTTTAGTTTTCTCTCTTTCCATAAGAGTAAAAGCGTACTTCTGAATCATTTCCCTTTGAAGCAAAATATAAATATTGTTTAAGCATAGATCATTTTGTTCCATATTTCCCTGGTCTTAGATGTAAAAAGGGCTCTTATTTATAGCTACACAATTAATAAAACCTTATTAATTTTTAATAATTTATTTTTAATAATTCATCTCTGCAGTCCTGCTTTAATAACACATGCAGTATCAGTACATGGAGTAGGGATACCTGCATTCCTAATGCAAATAAAGTAATCATATTCCTAAGCCCTGGTACTATTCTTAGTACGCCATGATATTACTCCTTTAGCTTTTGAATTTTGTTTATTTGTTGTTTTTGTCAGAGTATGTGTGTGTTTTATGTTTATTTTGTTTTAGCAGCTTAGTATTTTGGTTTATAACAGGCAGTTAGGAGAATTCTTACTCAAAAAGTATCTATTGTAGGAGGTTGAATTTAAATGGTGAACAGAGTTTTTAATAGATTCTATAATTTTCAAAATAGTATAAGTGAATATGCTTTTTTGTTAAACAGAGAAACTAGCAACAGGCTAGCTTTCCCAAACATGTTTCTGGGAACACTGTAATCTTGTGATAAATTAATAGTTATTCTGCAACTTGTAAAAAAGAATTCTTACTGTACTTCTCATATCTTTTAATCTGCTAATGTACCTCATGAATATCCAAGAGAGTGTGATAGTACGCAGTCTCTTCGAATCTGAAGTGACCACAGTGCTCTCCCTTCTCCCCACCCCCCAGGAACTCCAACAATACTATTAATAATAGTAGTAATAGTAATAATGTATGCCTGGCATTATTCTAAGTACTTTACCTGTATTAATTTATTTAGTCCTCACCATGCTATGAGTTAGATATATTATTAGTTCCATTTTAGAGGAGACAAACTGAGACACAAAGAACTTGAGCAGATCATCACCTCGGAAATGTAGAGCTGGGATTTATTCTAAGTCTGTTGGGCTCTTGAGTTTATGTTCCTATCACCACACTGTACTACCCCTCTTACTAATATCTTGTGGACAGTGGAATTCTGCAAAGCATTGTTTACTTTGGAAATGCTGAATTAGAGGCTTTAAATGGCTTGTCTTCGGGTCACAGAAATAATATTTCATTATGCTGTGTACTCTCTTGAAACTCCACATTACAAAAATGGAGACATAGTCCATTAAACTAGAATCATTCTTTGTTTCAAAGCATTTATTAGATATTATAGAACTTCATGGCAAAGTGAAACAGTAAATAAGAAGGATTCTTAACTTAGGGTTCATGGACTATTAAGAAATGCTTGAATCACCTTCAGAATCTAGAAACTCCTTGAAATTATGACATTTTATGAGTATGAGTATTTTTCTCCAAGGAGAGGGTTAATAATTTTCATTGTGCAGTTGAAAATCCACATAGAACTTTCGACTACCCAAAAACTTAACTGCTAATAGCGTAGTGTTGACCAGAAGCCTTACTTATAATATAAACAGTCGATTAACACTTATTTTGCATATCATGTGTTATATACTGTATTACAATAAAGTAAGCTAGAAAAAAAATGTTAAAAATCATAAAATACATTTACAATATTTATTGAAAAAAATCCACGTCGGAAGCTCCTTTACTAAATGGGATGCTGCCCAATTCATGAATCATTCAATAAAGCAAATTAGACCTTTAAGTTAAGAAGAAAAAATCCACGTGTAAGTGGACCCATGCAGTTCAAACCCATGTTGTTCAAGGGTCAGTGGTTTTATCACATGGGCATATCTTCCAAAATTGTTAAATATTACTCATCTAGATGCTAAAAGATTAAAATTATATTTCTTTCTAGTCAAGGTAATAGGTAATTAAGATGCTTTTAAAAGTATTTTCTGATGCATGTTCCTATGCTGAAGTGCACTAGTAGCCATTATCCAATAAGTCCTGTCATTAGCGAAGCTTGCTACTCTTGAGAAAAACAGGTGTCTTCGAAAACATTTTAGAGTGAAGGTAGAAACACCATGTTATTTATTTTAAAATCCAGCTCTAAATACAAATTTTATTTTTGGGGTTTGATTTTGAGATAACTTTTTCAGTGGAAAAATTTTGTCTTATGGCTGTCTTGTCTTTTAGGACCCAACCCTGGAAGAAAAGATGGAATATTTTCAGAGTCAACTTTTAATTCTCCACAGGGTGTAGCCATAATGAATAATATCATATATGTGGCAGATACTGAAAACCACCTTATAAGAAAGGTAATTTCCCATTTAAATAAAGTTTTAATACTTCTAATCAGAAAAACTGATATTTACTTGCTACATCGAATATTTAAAGTGAGAGGATAATGCCTAAATACCTCAGATCATCCTTATTCAGCTGTTTTCAGAAATACATGTTTTAGTTTTATTCTTAGGTATTTGTTTTTCTGTACATCAGCCTGTAGTTGTCAGAGAAGACAAACTCATCAATCAAGTCCTTTTTTTTGTTCTGTATTTCAAAGTCATGCGCCTGATCACCCAAAGCTCCTCATTTTGAGGTATTTTCCTAACTGCTATTTACAAATTCACATTTTGTCCTTTTTCAGTTAAATTTTCTGAGACCTAGGAAAAAAATCAAACACCACTGCCTGCTGCTTTTCAGCTCTTTTGCTTTGCCTGGAAATACTTATCAGCCAACTAGTCTTAGCTTTTGTTTTATGTCATTATAAAAGGTAAAAAAAAAAAAAAAAAATCTCCTGATATATATTCCAGCTCCCCAGAGGTTGTAATCCAGTGGCTTTAAGTTGCCTTCTTTTTAGAAAATAATTAAGTTTATATAACCCATCCTGCCTATATAGTGTTTCAGATACTTCTCTCTCTCTTTCTCTCTCTCTCTATTGACATTTATGCTCATTTATTTAACTGTATTATCACCTAATATATATAATAGGAAAAAACCATATCTAGAACGTATAATGTAAATCTCCATGAGGGTACAAAATTTCTTTACTGCTGAAATCCTAAGCACTTAGGAGAAAGTCTGGCCCACATTAGGTGTTCAGTAGAGATTTGTTAAATGAGTTTCTGAGCAAATAACATCTTTTTAATGAAGCATTGTCTAAAGTGTATATTTCTCTTAATAGGGAAAAGTATTACATGAAAAAGATTTTGTGGATTTATAAATTAGATTTATTTTTTGAAAGTCTCTATTAGAGACTTTCCTTTTAGAGACTTTAATATGCAAATATATTGGTGGGGGCTGTATGGGCAATTCTCTAAGCTTTGATCAAGGATCCCTTTTTAGGCAGAACTTTTTATAGGACTAATGAGTTTATGGTATGTACTTTGGGGGAAAGTGGTTTTTCTGTTGTTACTAAGACCTTCAGATCAGTATTTATTTATCATCTTTTTGGGGTTGTCTGCTTCTATAATTTATCATAGCATCCTACATATCTAACAGGGTATTAAATTTAACCTGCAACATTCAGGAAGTACTCTTCCTTTTTTAATTGTACGCAATGTCTCTTGCTTTAGAACATAATGGATTTTGGAGTATTGACTGCATTTCAAATACTTTTTAAGTAGCATAATCACAAATTTAGGTTACCTGGAGTTTTTTTTCTGTTATATGACTTAGTGTCTGCAAAAATAGGAAATGAGGTGGAATTATCATCTTTTCCTCTTTTTAAAAATATTTTAAGTCCTCATTTGCAGATCATTTGCAGGATTATTTGATCATAATCCTACATTCATAGGTCACAGACATCATCATTCCGTGCAGACGTCTCACATTTAGAATAATTTACTACTTAGTTTATAAATTCCTCTCCAACCGCATTCCCATTTCCCCTGTATAAACACACCTTAGCCAGCCATTTTGACACATTTAATTCATATCTTTTTATTTGTATATGACCTTGTAAAACATGCAGTATTTTGTGTACTTCTTTTTTTAACAACTTTATTGTGATATATTTTACATAGCATTAAATTCACCCATTTCAAGTATATAATTCAGGTATCCATCAGTGGAAGATATATATGAACCATGGTATATTCTTATGATGGAATACTGCTCAGCAATAAAAAGGAACAAGCCACTGAGACATGAATAAATCTCAGAAGTATGTGAAATGAAAGAAGCCTCACACAAAAAAGCCAGTACTGCATGATTCTATTTATATGAAGTACTGTTTGTCTCTGGGGGGCAGGAATGGCTGGAAAGAGGCATGAGGGAACTTTCTGGAGTGAAAGTAACATATCTTTATGTAAGTTGGGGCTACACAGGTTTTTGCATTTATGAGAATTCATCAAATGATAAACTTAAAGTTTATGCATTTTATTGTAAGTTTTGCCTCAAAAAAGGAAAAAACTGAAAAAATATAGAACTCTAGGTAATGATAACGAAATATTTAGGGACAGTGTACTGATGTTTATGATTTACTTTGAAATGCATCAAAAATATAAATGGATTGAGAGATTGATAGCTGGATAAAATATGTGATAAAGCAAGTAAGCGAAATGTTGATAGCAGGTGGTGGATATATGAATGTTTGCTGCAAAATCTTTTGAACTGTTCTGTCTGAAAAGTTTTATGGTAAAATGTTGGGGGAGAGTCTCAGAAGAAATGAGAGCATCTTTTTTTCAGTAGAATGCATTAGTTTTTCAGTTTATGCACTAGAGGCAATACAGTGTAGTAGAGCTAGAACTGCCTGGCTTCAGATCCCAGATCCTGGACTTATTAGCTGTGGAATTTTGGGAAAGTTACATAATAATCTGCCCCAGTTTCCTCTAAAATTATGAAATCACATTCATAGGGTTATTATGAGGATGGATGGATAGATGATTCTTGGATCAGTGCCTAGCATATGTTAAGCTCTATATGTGTCAATTACTAGCCAAGCAAAACTGAAATACGGATATTTAATTTTAAGGAACACTTGGTTTTTTTCTATATTTTGCTTTAAAATTTCAGTTTTCATTTTAAAGTATTTTATAGTTAAAATGCAGTCAACACCAGTTCTGATAGAGGCATCAGAGAGGGATATAAGTGGAAATTGGGGGAATGGATGGGTGAAGAAATGAAAAGTACTGAATTTTGTGCTTTTGAATAACAAGGTCGCCCTATATTTGGTTAGCCTTTTTTTTAAGCTTTGTTTTTAAAACGAAGAATATTGATGTTACAGATGTTTTCTATAGTTCTATTGAAAATTTTCATGTACCAAAATTTAAAAAAAGGAACATGCATTGTATTAAAACGTGTATTAATTTCTGTAGATTGACCTAGAAGCTGAGATGGTGAGCACCATAGCTGGCATTGGAATTCAAGGCTCAGATAAAGAAGGTGGAGCTAAAGGAGAGCAGCAGCCCATTAGTTCCCCGTGGGATGTAGTTATTGGAACATCAGGTTTGTAAACTTTTAATATTAAATACAAATAAATTCTGCTTAGTGTAAGATTAAAAAATTATTCTGGGGACATTCATTTGGATTAATTTTATTGCTAGTTCTTTTATTCTTTTATACCTGTGGCTTGGGATTTGTTAGTTGTGTAAAAACAGTAATACATACAAGATAGAATATGTTATAATTTATAATATTACACATTATATTTTATATACAAGATAGAGTATATGTTACTCTAATATTAAAGAATTTTATTTTAGCTGCAGCTTTCATTAATATATTTCTGAATATTCTCAAATTGGAAGAATTATAGTTTCAGAACTTCAGAAGATTATTCATAAACTGTACCATTTAACAATGTTCTTTTTATTCTAATTTGAAAAAGAAATAAAAGACAGCTGCTTTTTTTTTATATTTAGACTTGTACTGAAACATGGTAGCTTCTTTTGAGCAATTAAAAAAAAAGTTTACCCTACTGAATTATGTAGATATTGATAATGCATACGATTTACTTTTTCTTTACAATCTTTATTATTTATATGAATTGACTATAAGATAATCCAGGAGCATAAGTTCTCTTATTTTTCATTGGCCCTCAGTGATACTGAGATGGTTATTTACATGTCTAAAACCAGAGTAATGAATAAAGTAAGTTAATAGAATACAATGAAAAATGAATTTGGGGCTGAAAGGTTTTTATGGTCTTAATATTTTTATAGCTCGAATAAGCACCAGTTTAGTTGAATGGCTTTACATTAGAAATAATTTTCTATTCCAATTTGCTTATAATTCAAAGACCTTAAATTTTTTATTATGATTCACTTTTTATAAAGTTTTTATTATTCATAAAATGAATGAACTTCTGGTACTACCTGTACTTAATATATATAACTTAGTTATTTTGTATAAATTATTTTTGAGATTTTCATGTTTGGAATTCTGTGTCCTAATAATCATGAGTTGTTTTAGTAGCTCATAGTGGGGAAGGAGTTGGGAAGGGTAGAGGGAGCAGTACATCCCAGGTGCAGTCAAGAAGGGAATATATTTTATGTAGAGAATTTAGCAATAGTAGTAAAACCACTACAGCTCAATCTTTTTATCACCGTGCATCGGCAATTCTAAATAATTTCAGAGTTAAAAATACTCATTCCCACTAGGATCTACCTACCACTCCTGCCTCTCTGCCTTTGGTGCACCACTGAGCTATTTCAACATAAATCTTACAGATGGAAAAGTAATCTGAAACATATTAGTAAAATAGTCAAAGTGGATGAGAATTGTTGCCTTGAGATGCTCTTACCCTCCCTAGAGGAAAAAAATATATCTGCCTTTACTATGTGAGCCCCCAATGTTTTATAGGTAATAGTCCATATAGAGTTCAGTCATCAATTTTTAGATTTTGCAACTTAAAGCCTCTTTTTACTGTCAGTAATTGCCACAATAATGCTTCATAAGAAATCATCCCCAAATTCATATAACCTAAACCTTTGTTTATTGGTCACATATGGGGTTAGGGTCACCTGGTCAAGGCTGAGGCTTGACTTGGTTCCAGGTGCTTCTAAGGTGCAGATCTCCATTTGTTTCTCATCCTCCTTGGACCAGCAGCATCTGAGGCATATTCTTTTGGCAAAAGGCAGAAGCACAAGAGACTAAGTCCAGTCACACATCTTTTAAGCCTTTGTTCATGTCATATCTGCTTACCTATTATTAAAGCAGGTTACATAACTAAGCTCAAAGTTATGGGGCAGAGGTAGGCACTTTGCCTACAAAAAGTCCATGGCAAGGATGTGGATGTATGATATTACTACAGAGGAGTGAAGAGTTGAAACCAATAATTCAGTCTGTTATATACATCAGAATTTACATTGTTCATTAACAGGATGTTCTTTACTAAGTTGAATTTATTTAACGACCAGAGAGTGCTTAAATATTTTTCTAGGCTAAAAGTTTTTCAACCATACTTTATGGCATGGAATTTCTAGGGTTTTTTTTTGTCTCATATCTATAATGTATCTAAATCACTTTCCAAGAAAACCTTGTCTCTATTGACCAGTACTCCCTCAGCTTCCAGTTGGAGTGATGTGCTATTTGCGGCTTGTGTCATTAAACTCAGTTTTAAGTAAAGGAAGTCCTGCCTTACTTAGCTCAACAGATCATTATAAGCATGTGGCTCTGCACTTACAGCTTAAAATAGCTTCACTTCAGGTCCTTGCAAAAGGAGTAATCTTGAATGCACTTAAGCTCAGTACCTTTCAAAATACTAAGAGAGAATGATTTTCAAGCACTGTATGAAGGACCTATAATCACAATGACTACACTAACCCGAGAGTTTTTAGCCATAGGTTATATACCCAAGGCGTTCATGGTTAGGTTTCATGAGGTACTTAAACTTCCCATACCTTCTATTTAAAATTTGGGGGATTGGTCAGATTCTCTTCAGAGTTCAAAGTGGTATGTTACCCAAAAACATTTTAAGAGCCATCACTTTAAATTATTCTAAAATCTAATCTAATCCTGGATTAATGTATATTGTCAGAGTATGTGGAAATTGGATCATTGAATATTTGCTCTCCTTACAGTTGTTTTTACTAAACTATATTTTGGCAACATGCCATTCATTAAAAATATATCGACACATAAGCATCACATTCATTTATATTGATGTTTGTGTATGTGTTTCGTATTATGTATTTCATCAAAACATAGCCCTATGGGACTTGTTCCTGTTTTTACTATAGTATTTGCTGGTAGTTTCAGTTATTACCTTAAAAATAACCTCTCTGTATTATAGGTAGTTACACTTTTTCTTAAGTATCAAGTTTGTTTTTAAGCTCCTGGAAAATTTGACTATCATAACTGTGTTTGCCTTGTTCTATGGACTGCTAGGGAACTTAGAGACAAATTTATCTTTAGCAAAGGACAATGGAAACATGACATTCAATTTTTAGTATTAGTATGGCTGTATCTCTCTTTTCTTCCCTATTTACCTCTTGCTTACATTTTCTTATTTTAAATGTGTTTATCTAATCAAGGTTTATTTCTTTATAAGCTACTTTAATGTTTTATATAATAAAAGTAGAATTAAGTAAATACAGTAGAATCCTTTACTGAAGTGATTATGATAATTGTTCGATTAGAAAAAAAAATCTGTTAACTATGGGAATCATAAAACTAAAAATGCTTTGTTTTAATTTGAGAAATATAAGTGTACAATTTTTAGCCAAGATTTTGATGTAGGACCACACCTAATTTAACAACAATTTGACTTAGCTACTTGCCTTTATTGAGTCTTTCCAGAGTATTCAACTTTATTTTCATAGAAACAGCTTCCTTTTTGCATTTATATTAAATTGGCTCAGATATATTTAAATTACATAATAGTAAAACTGGTTTAAACAAATATGGGTTTAAACGCAACTTGAAGGGGATTGTGGCTGAGGAAAATTGTTCTTGTAAACACTAAAGTTTTTTAATGCTTTAAGAATTTTATAGAATGTTTCTGAAATTCTACCGTAGTTAGCAATTTGAGAGTGGATGGAATTATCAGGAGGAAAACATGAAAAATAGATTAGGTGTTGTATCTTCATACATTAGGTTGTTCTTCGAGGTAAATAGTGAAGCATGGCTACACCTAGCAGCATGGACAAGTATCAGGAGTCGGTTGAGTAAAAAAAGCAAGTTGTTGAAGAGACCTACAATATGATTTCTTTTATAGAAAGTTCAGTAGCAAGCAAGGCTAATATACTGAGAAATCCATCCACACATAGTAAAATAAATATAAGAGAAGAAAAATGAAAAACGAATTTTTAGATTAAATGCTTCTGGCAAGAGGAGGAGGGGAATCTGGTCACAGAAGGATGCACTAGGTTCTGAAATGTTTTCCTCTCGAGCTAGGTGGTGTGCGTATGGATGTTTAGTTATTAAACTTTATAACATTCATTCATATGCATATTTAATTAAAAACTAAATCTTATTAAAAGCAAAATAGATTAGGTAAAGAGAATGAAAAATAACAAAGACAAATGCACAGTTAAATACATACCCTACCAAGCGACCCAGTTAATAAAACATACTTCAAGAAGAGATTAAGGAAAAGGACTTGAAAGACCTCTGATTATTTTAGACATACACTTAATGTGTAAATATATGGGTGCATTTTAAATAGCATCTGAATATTTAACCTAATTATGCCATTACAGTGATAAAATGCGTAAATAATTAGCTTAAAGTGATTTTTACAAAAGTGATTGTTTCATCTTCATTTTGTGATTATCACGCCAAATACGGTCAGAACTATATAATGCACTAAAAATAATTACTACAGTATATTCATTTGGTCAGCAGAAACTGTCATGTTTCTAATATGCATGACTTAACTTGTGCCAGACAAGAACCTCTGTTAGTCTCTACATAGACTTTACCTGATTTTAAATCATTTATACAAAGGATAATGTGCCCGAATCCCATTAACCTTCTTTGGCCCTTTAATCAGTATTTTCTCTACATGGAGGTTTAGCTATTCTTAGACAACCTTTAATGATCAAAATCGAGCTATTTAGTATGCTGATCTTATAATCTACAGTGTTGGTACTTATGTGTTTAGATAGCATGCTTCTCAGAGTTCCATTAATATGCTGTAAAATGCCATAGCAAACATTAATCTTCTGCCACTGAATTTCCAAAGTACCCCTTTTTTAGTGTGCTTCAAATAAATATATAAAATATATTTTTTTAGATCCTCTAAATTAATCAGATGATGCAGATTTTTTTTTGAGAAATTTTATACAATGTGACTAGTATGTTTTTATTAAAATAAAAGTAATTTTTTTTTTCATCTAAAATTTGAGAGATGATTCTTATACTGTCTTACCACATTGGGTATTTATAAGATTTTTTTTTAGTCAGGTAATGAGGTATTATTTACAGAAAATAACATTCACCCTTATTAGTTATAAGTTCTATGAATTTTGACAAACACATACAGTCTTATAACCATTATTACAATCAAGATAAAGAGTATTTCCATCACCCCAAAAAGTTATCTCGTAATTTTTCGTTCAGTCCCCCTCCCGCAACTCCCACCACGTACCTCAGCCACTGGCAGTAATGTTTTTCTTGCTCCTCAGTATAGGCTTTTCTGTCTGGCTTATTTCATTTAGCATAATGCTTTTGAGATTCATCCTTGTTGCATGTGTCAATAGTTTGCTCTTTTTTTTATTGCTAAGTCGTATTTCATTGTATGGCTGCACACAATTTGCTTATTAATTCATCAGTTGATAAACATTTCAGGTGTCTGGTTTATGGCAGTTATGATTAAAGCCTCTATAAATGTGTACAGGTTTCTATGTGGACATACATATTTATTTCTCTTGGACAGATGCCTCAGAATGAAATTGCTGGGTCATATGATAAGTGTGTGTGTAATTTTAGAAGAAACTGCCAGACTGTTTTCCAAAGTGGCTATTAAGAGTCCTGAGTGTCCTTCTGGAGTATTGCTTCTGCCTAAAGAACTTCCTTTAACATTTCTTGTAGCACATGTCTGCTGACAGTGATTTCACTTGGCCTTTTTTCGGCAGGGGGAGGCAGATGGCGAGGGGAGTCTGGAAAAGTATTTAGCTTTCATGTTTGAAAGATGTTTTTACTCCGTATATGTCTGAATTAACTTCTTTTTTCTTTGATATTTTAAAGAGGTCATCGTATTTTCTTATAGCTCTTAGTTTTAAATAAGAGGTCTGACGCTTTTCCTAGTTCCTTTGTATATAAAGTGTGATTTTTCTCTGGCTGCCTTCAAGATTTTGTCTCTCAGCAGTTTGATATGTCTAGAAGTATCCTGCTTAGGATTCTGGAGTCTGTGGTTTGATGTCTATTATTATCTGTGAAAAATTCTCACCATTATCTCTTAAGATATTTTTTCTACTCCTTTTTCCTCTTTTGGGGATTTCAGTTACTCATATGTTAGACTCTTATGTGGTATCCAACAATTCTTACATATTGTATTCTTTTTATTGCACCCATTTTTTTCTCTTTATGTTTTGATGTGGATAATATCTATAGAGTCATTGTTTCCTCAGCTGTGTCTAATCAGCTGATGAGCATATCGAAGGCATTTTTCATCTGATATTTTTATAGCATTTCCATTTTACTGTCTTATAGATTCCGTCTATCTGATGAAATTCCTCACCTAATTAGGTATGTTGGTCACCTTTTTCTCTAACTTACTGTAGTAAGCATAATAATTTCAAAGTATATGTCATATAGTTCCAAACTTCAGGTCATCTCTGAGTCTGTTTCTGTTGATTGCCCTGTCTCTTGAAAATGGTTTTGATTTGGTTGGGTTGGGTTGGGTTGGGTTGGGTTGGGTTTTTTTGTTTAGTTTTTGCTTGCTTTGTGTCTTCTCATTTTTTATTAAATTCCAGTCATCTTGTGTAGAACTTTAGAAGCTGAGATTGATAGTATTTATGCAGTTCTTATGGGAGGTTGAGTCAGTGCAATCAGAAGCTGGGCTGGGTCTGGGTTTAATTATTCCCTTGAGTTCTGTTAATTCACCATACCTTTTGAATTCCTCTAGCAGTGGGCTGGTGTTGCCTAAGCTTGGGGGCGTAGATTCTGGAGGGTTTTTCTCAGCATTACTATTCCTCCCTCAGCTTTCAGTCATCCTGCATAGCGAGCCACAGAGTGGTTCTCTCTCTTCACATTTACAGCTACCCCGGGGATAAACTGCTGCATTTTGTCATTCTGTACTAGGTTGTGTTGGGGCTAAGGGGAAGTGCTCTCTGTTATTCTGATCAGCCTCAGTATTAGGGAGGCCCTGTGTGCATGAGCCTTCTTGAAAGGCCCTGTGTGCATGAGCGTTCTCTCTGGCAGCTCAACTGCCTTGTATCTCTGAGTGGTTTTGAAGAGTTTTCCTATTTCTCCCTCAGGAGTGGGTAACCTCTGCTTGGTGTTATTATGGGATCTTTGGCCAAAGACAATTCCCTGTCCTTCTCTCAGAGGTAGAGAGATTTTTTTCTTCTACTCTTTCTCCAGTTGTCTCATTGGTCTTTTCCTGTGCTCTGGGCGGGTGACAGCTTTGCTGCTTTTTCCTAGTGGCTTAATGCTTTGCTTCATAGGAGGTTTAGAGACTGTGTAGAAAAAACTATTTACACTAATGGCTGGTTTCACAGATGCTCTTAAGAGGGTTCTAGTCAGTGGGTTCTATTTTTATCATAGTTACGTAAAATAACTCAAAATTTTTTAAAGCTGGATTGCAGGTAATGTTTTCATTATCATGTTTCATGTGCTTATTTTATTCCTGTTTTCTGAAGCTATTCCACTAATCCTTATTGATGAGTATGATGGGTTTTGCCTTTTAAAATACTTCCAAAACATTTTTAGCTTTTAGCATTGTCCTTTTTTAATTTGTGACTGTTGAGAGTCAGTGATATTAAGTGTACTCTTAATTTAAAATTGAAATGTTCGTGATTGCCACACTCTTGTTGGAATAAAACTAATACCTATACTCAGTGATACAACTATGTGATTTAGATTTCAAAATCCAGGATGAATAGCGTAAATAATATAACACTTGTTAGTTTGATAGACATTATAAATGCCAGACTACCTTTTTCTATTTTTTTAAAACTCACTTTATTTGTAAGAACAAACTCTTCAGCCTTCAGTGAAATGATCAGGCAGGATAAAAACTTTAGAGGTGGTATAGCATGGTAGTCATGAGCATGGACTCTGGAGCCAGGCCGCTTGGGTTCTAATTAATTTCACATTTTAGTAGTTGTGTGACTTTGGACAACTTACTTAGACTATTTATGCCTCAATTTCCTCAAGTAAATTGAAACTACTAAATTTCAGAGGCTTATTGTGAGAATTACGAAGATTAATGTTTGGAAAGCACTGCCGACTTCATCAGTTGGTACGTGGAACCTCAGACACCTGAATCCTGACTTGACACAGCCTGTGCATCTACGCTTTTCCTCATTCCTCGGGTTTCTTAAGGAAATACATGCACAGAGACCAAGACCAAATAGATGTTCACTCTTTATTACTGTGAAGCTTTTGCCTTCATACAGTAGACCTTAGTTGGCCTGTTTGGAGGACTCTTTATGGAGGCCTGATGTGGTCTTTCATTCACACATATGCCAACACAGCTCTCCTCTGGCAAGGTAGAGGCTTTAAAAGCATGTTATCTTCTAATAATTACAGTAGAGGCTTTAAAAGCATGTTATCTTCTAATAATTAGAAATAATTCTGTTTCTAATCTTTATGCTTTTTTCTTTTTCATACTTGTTATACAAATTAGGACCTTCCTGTGATGCTATGTAAGTGTTGATAGCAGCTATCCTTGTCTCATTTGTGTTCTCAGGGGACTATCTTAGTCAGCTTGGACTGCCATAGAGTACCTCAGACTAGGTGGCTTAAACAACAGAAATTTATTTTCTCACAGTTCCGAGGGCTAGAAGTCCAAGGTCAAGGTGCCAGCATGACTGGTTTCTGGAGAGCTCTCTTCTGGCTTATGGACAGTTACCTACATACTTTGTCCTCACTTGGAAGGGACAAAATAAAATAAATGTGAAAAGCTTTGATCTAGTTTTAAAGTGATTAAGTAGAGACAGTCTCCAGAATATGTGGATGTCACTGTCACTTTTAATACAGTTTGTGTTTATAAAAATATTTGACGATGAAAAATTAAATTGAGATAAACTACTTTCATTTATATTTCATAGGAGAGCAATTTAGAATACAGAGAAAGAGGCAACATGTGAAATAGATTTTTCCATTGGACTGCCTAGGTTCAAATTCCAGTTTTTTCATTTGCTAGCTATGTGATCCTAGCAAGTTACCTGACCTCTCTAGCCTCAATTTTTTCATCTGTAAAAAGGGCCTCATAACACTACCTGTCTCCTGGGGCGTTGAAAAAATTTAAGTGATGATCTCTGTACAGTGCTTGGCACATAGCAACCACAGTTTATAGAGAATCATCATCACCTTTTTTGTTGTTAAATTGAAAGACAATTGAAAGTAATACAAGTTAAGGAAGTAAAGTTCCTTCTGGATACCAATTACTTTAAAGAAAATACAAATAAAATAGCCTTAGCGAGATATTTCTTAGAGCGTAGGATATATCTGACCAAATTTTTTTTAGTTAAAATACCTCAATTGCATGTAAAAGTAGCCTCAGAATACATATAAAATTAAAATATTTAAACTATAGAATTTGAGAAATAGAGCCTTATTGTAATAAGCTATAAATTAATTTTACAACTATTCATTTTAATTTTAGTAAATACTAAGTTTCATAAACAGCTGTTTTGTACTATATTGTACTCTTACCTTTTTTGTATGTCAACTATATCTTTTTTAAAAAGTTTTATAACTAAACAGTATATTTTAAAATAGCAATAGTGATGTATAGCTAAGTTTAAAATCGAATACTATCGCAGAAATATACATGTCTTAAACTATTAAAAGATAGATTTTCCCATGAGAAATTGTTCAGAAAACCTGTTACTAAAGCATATAATGTAGCTGGTTAGTACTGGATATTTGACTGCCAAAGTTTCTTTGGAAAATATGTTATCAACCCATTTCTTTTATCATATAAAATAGAAATTAAATGTTTAAAAACATTGTCCCTAGAGGTGCAGAGGGACATATTGCCACTAAAAATACTTTGGATTTCTGTGAATTTACAGATAAAGTTATAAGTCTAAAGAAGTATACCTTTAACAAAGAAAATTTTCAAAAACAGTTTAAAACATTGCAACGTTTTTATCTTCTAGCAGATGATTTATAAACATCTTGCTCTTTTTACCTAATTTAAATTTCTCAAACAATTGGTATGTTTTGTATTATCTAGATATGTGTATAATATTTACTGTTTGTTTTTTATAAAGATTCAGAGGTCCAGAGGGATGACATTCTGTGGATAGCCATGGCAGGGACTCATCAGATATGGGCACTCCTACTGGACTGTGGTAGACTCCCAAAGAAAAGGTAAGTGACAGCATCTCTCTGGGTAAACTGCACACCTCGGAGTTCACAGAATTCCCTTTCCCAAAGCCCCATCCTTGCCCCACTCACTGAATTGTCAGCATATGCTGGGCTATATACTCCCACAACAGCCAACCCAGGTTCTCAGCATCTTAAGGTTTATTTTTTGCTCACCTACGTAAGTTTGCTGGGGAGTAGTACTGCTCTGCTACCCATGCTGGTGAAGCAGCCACCATCTGGATCTTTGCCAGTCATCCTGACAGAGAGGTGGCGAGTAGCTTATGGCTCTTAAAGCTTCTGCTCAGAAGTGACACATCAATTCTACGTAATTTCCTCAGCCAAAGTAAGTCTCATGACCACACCTAACTTCAAGGAAGCTGGGAAGAGCAATCCCACAGAGCGTCTAGAAAGAGAACTGGAAACATTTGGTAGGTAGTGGTCTTTTAACAGGTAGTTCCGATATCCCCAATCACTGGTTCAGTTATTTGAGTACTGTAAAGCAGAGTAGGTAATAGCTCTGGTTTTGTAGTGAGGCCTGAGATTGAATCTTGGCTCTGCCACTCGCTGCGTGAGCTTAGGAAAGCCACTTGAACATTCTAAGCCTCATTGTCCTTATTTATATCTACCTCTTAGGCCTGTTTTGAGAGTTAATAACATGTGTGAAGAACTCCTCCTATTGCCTGGCATGTACAGTAAATGTTGGTAGCTTTGTTGCTGCTGTTGAGGATACAAAGATGAAAAAATAGTGTCTCTACAGAGATTTTCTTTTCGATAGAGCTTCTCCCTCCTGTTCCTAACACCCCATGTAGAACTGACCACACTCTTCTGATTCACTATACTTCGCATGTAGTTATATCACTGCACTGGTAAGTTCTTTCTCTGTCCCCCTCCCCACCTCTCTCTCCCTCTCTCTTTCTTTGTTTTTGGTTGCACTTATTTGTTTACATAACTATTTCCGCTTACTAGACTGCCTTTTCAAGGAAAGAGCCTTTTCTCATTCATTTTTGTGTCCCCACTACCTAGGATAGTACCCAGTACATAATAAGCCAAGTAAGAAATAAATAAATGAATAAATGTCAGTAGACAGTATAGACTGTCAGATTGCCATAGAAAGTGCCTATCATCTCACTTACTTTTATCAATAGAATGGAGCAGTTATATCATCCAAAATATCAAATATATTTCAAATAGTGTATATGTGTATGTGTTGCTTAATATGATGTTTGCAACATTTAATCATCCATCTAATAAATATTTATTAAACATACTATATACTAGACACTATGCTAGGCAATAGGGATGAAATATGTTTGCTAATTAAGCATAAAATGAAAAGATATGATTGCTGTCCTCAGTGGGTTTACAGAGGAGAAGAACAGATTAGCAAACAAACAAAACAGTTGAAAGTATAGGTGCTGTGTAAAAGAGATCACACCAGTAGTTCTTTAAATCGAAAGCGAGCCTTACATCAGGGGTCCCCAACGCCCCGGCCGCAGACTGGTACCGGTCTGTGGCCTGTTAGGAACTGGGCCACACTGCAGGAGGAGAGCGGCCAGCAAACCAAGCAAAGCTTCATCTATTTGCAGCTGCTCCCCAGCATGAGCATCACCCACTGCCTCAGCTCCATCTCAGATGATCAGGCATTAGCTTCTCATAGGAGCACTGGTCTCTGGTGCCAGTAAGGTTCAGGGACCACTGCCTTACATAAATAAGAGGAACTCCTGATACCAGTTTGAGATACTAAGGAAAGCTTCCTGGAAGATGCTACTAAACTAGACCTGACAGAGGAGTAGGAGTTAGGCAGGGAGAGTGGAGGTTTTGCAGGCAAGAAATGACACTAGTGCTTTTATTTAAGGGAACTCCTTTTTAAATTGTTGAGACTCCTTGTAGTAATCACCTTTTATTTGTTTATTTTTATAAATTCCTTAAATAAGTGGCCATATTTTATGTATTCTTTATCCCTTTACCTCCATCCTCTGCTCCGTACCTGATTTCAACCTTGGGAACATATCAACCACTAAGTGATTGATGATTGTTTTAGACTTTTGCATGTCGTGCCATATTTGGTCCCAGTTATTTATAGTCTCTCATTATTTTGCTTTGTAGTCAGCTTTTCTTTTCTCAACACAAGACACCACCGTGTCTTCCTTACAGTCCCTCTGGCATAAACTTAGAAACCAACGTGTAAAACTTTCTTTGCTTTACAAAAGCAATTGTTACAAATAATCATTATAAATGATAGAAATTTTCTTAATGTATATAAGATATTGATTGTATAATTGATTAGTTAAGCAACATAATCATCCTTATCAGTTTCTTAAAACAGGTAATGCTTTACCTGGGTATCTTTCAAAATGATTCTTTCAATTCCTTTTGCTAGTCTCTAATATGTACAAGAAAACAAAACATTTTCAATGAAAATTTAAGCTTTAAGCTATCAAGAGCTAGAAAATCTTTTTAATTCCCTTTCAGAACCTAATATTGCCTGAGGCTAATAGGTCAGGGCCTTAAGGTGGGATTCAGCTGTACCTGTCTCTGACCGTTTGGAGGAAAAACAATCTATCCCATCATGTTCATTGTTTTTATAATTCTAACCTTGTCAGTGATTTCCTTTCTGGCCATTGAGAATAGTTTCATTTTTGTATATGTCAAAAAAAAAAGTGGAAAAGTCTTCACACAAAAGGAATCAAAAAATTTAACTAAGCCAAGATCAGCAGATTTTTTTTTTTTTTTACAATGCTTATCACCATTGATTTTATTATTTACACTCATTCATTTAGTAACTAAATTGGACACAATGAAACAATGTCAACTTTAACCAATGAACTTGTCTTTTTCAGTGAGTTAAAAAAAGGAACCTGCCTTCGGTTTGCGGGAAGTGGAAATGAAGAGAATCGAAATAATGCATATCCTCACAAGGCAGGTTTCGCCCAACCTTCAGGTCTTTCTCTGGCCTCTGAAGATCCCTGGAGCTGCCTGTTTGTAGCCGATAGTGAGAGCAGCACAGTGAGAACCGTCTCACTGAAAGATGGAGCAGTGAAGCACCTTGTAGGAGGAGAGAGAGATCCCATGGTAATAAAAACCACCTTGGCACAGTGTGCCCACGCACTTCCCGAGCTTGTAGTTTTCTGAATTGTGACCAGTTAATAACATTTCGGAGAGAGTTCTGCTTTACCCACTAGTTAAAGCAGAAGTCAAACCAAAGGAAATGTGAATATAAAGAAACAAGTAGCAAAACCATCTAAGAAAAGTAAACTGACTCTACTTGATTATATATAACTGTTAAGGCTTCAGAGAGAAAGGAAGGGTACAATCTTGAGTACCAAGAGAAGTCTGAATCAAATGCTCAGCCTTATTTATATGAAATCAGACCTTTTCCCATTAACAAGTAGTATATACAGCCATCTTAATTTTCACTTTACATCCTAACAGACAGTGTAAAAATTTTAATGCACGCTGCTTTTCTCTTCTTTTTTTAAAAAAAGAATTTATTCGCTTTTGGTGATATTGATGGAGTAGGAATTAACGCAAAGCTTCAGCACCCACTTGGAGTAACATGGGACAAAAAAAGGAATTTACTTTATGTGGCAGACTCTTACAATCACAAGGTGAGTCTTGACAGAATTATGTAATACCCTACTTTTTATTCGTGGTATTTAAAATGCTGAAAATTCTATGAGCCTCCTACAACTGCCACTCCTAAAATGCAGAGAGGAATAACAGTCTTTGACAATTATATACAAGCATTTTCTGTTCTTTGCTCGGTCTTTTCTTTACAAAGAGGTTATGATGGTACGCTGAGCTCAGGAAAGGACTAATAAACAGATTCCAATGGCTATAGCCAAAACTGAATTGCAACCCACCAAATCTTCTTAGTAACAAATTCAGTAAATAAGGAGAAGGCAAGTAGCAGAGAAATTAATATGTTGACTAACAAATGAACATTTTTGAGCTGTTGAATAGTTGCAGTGCCTGTTAGCAAATAATTTCGTTTTAAGCAACATTTCCATTTGTCTCTGTTGTACTGACCATTCTACTATTTCCATTTTTGATTTTTTAATAAAAATCAGTGGGAAATATTAATATTTTATGAGTGACTATAAATTTAATACACTTAAGACACATTGGGGAATCATTAAGTTTAACATCAGTAGCAAATCCTCAGCCAATGTTAGATGCTCATGAGAAGTCAGTTCAGTTGTGTCCCATTGTGACAAAAGGGACATTTAAATTTTTTAAATTTCATAAATAATTTCAAGAAAATATAGAAATGCCTGTTCCTTTTCTGAGATTTTTTTTTTTAAGAATACTAATGACAAACAAATTCTCTAGCTATAATACTGTCCTTTTCCGTACTACAAACATGCGATTGAGCTTCAGGTACACCAATTTTCTTCCTTTCTTTTTAGATTAAAGTTGTGGATCCAAAAACAAAACACTGTACAACATTAGCAGGAACTGGAGACGCAAGTAATGTTATTGGTTCCAGTTTTACCGAGTCAACTTTTAACGAACCAGGAGGATTATGTATTGGAGAGAATGGTCAGTTATTATATGTAGCAGACACCAATAATCATCAAATTAAAGTGATGGATTTAGAAACAAAAACGATTTCTGTGGTAAGTAATCTTAAAATATAAGTTAGAGGATATCATTTTATGAATGAAACTAAGATCCTCCTAGCACTGACAGGTACTTTTGGTTAGTCCTTCACTAGTGATGAAAACGAAACATGTAGGTAGAGTAGTAAATAAACGTCTGTTTCAAGGATATCTTATTTTTAAAGTAAAATTCCATTTGTACTGAGAGTGCTTGAGAAAGATACTATAAGTTGGAAAGAATTTGATGGACTTTCAGAAAAAAAGGAAAAAGAGGACTCAGATCTGTTTTTTCAATGCGTAGACATTCTGACACATTTTTTCATTTGCCTGAAAAAAATGCGAGTTATTTTTTCTAAAATTCTAAGAATTTCCAAGATATGTTTCAAAATAAAAACAAATTGTCATAACATAAATGTCATTTCTTTTGACATAGATCTCTGCCATAAGATGAATGACATAGTTGGCAATGAAAATTCTAAGAAGATGTATATTATATTCACTACATTTAAATTGATAAAGTTTTATTCTAATTTCCTACCATCTATAAACATATTGGACAATTAATTACATTTCATTCATAAGTGTTGGTAACCTTTTTGGCAGGACTAAATATTTTTCTGAACCTACAGAATAATCATGAGGACATCTAAGTAAACATTTTAATTCAGACTAGAATGGCAATTAAGTTTCATTGAAAATTGAGATTCTATGACATAAAACCTCGTTTTAGAATGAAGTTTAAAAATAAACTCTCATTCTACAGTTACTATAAAGTATCTGTGCTTTAATAAAAATTTCTTATTTCCCAGCTCCCAGTCTTCATGTCTGAAAGTACGATAGTAGATGGCCCATTCCTGGTAGAAAAACAGAAGACAGTACCCATACTACCTAAATCTGCCCCAGCCATTAGACTTCCCCCAGTGGCTGCATCTCCAGGACAGACTCTCCAGTTCAAGCTAAGATTAGACCTCCCGTCAGGAACAAAACTAACTGAAGGAGCACCTAGTTGCTGGTTTCTAACAGCCAAAGGTATGAGAATAACCTTGCAAATGCAAATATTCCATAAATTCTTGATGTTTAATCTAGTAATCTTTCTCATTTGTTATGTGAGTTTTTGCTCTATAGTTGGGCAGGATTTGAAGGAAGTCTTGTGACAAAATAGATCCAGATCTAAACCCACTTTAGCAGTTTTCTGTAATCTTTGTGAGTCATTCCTCTTTTATTAAAGAATAGTGTAACTCACTCAAAATTAATCATAATTGCGTCCATTTGCTACTAGGCAAGTCAGTGACATGAGGCAGGCTTCTGTAGTCTCAGAATGATAGGTCCTTGAATATTATAGCTGTGAAAAGTACCAAAAGACACCATCTATTCTAAACCTCTTTTATAAATGAGACTAATGGCTCAAAGAGTGATTATAATAAATGCTCATTATACTGATTATGATAAATGCTCAAGGGCATATATTAAATGGCATTTGAATTCATCTCTGCTTGTTCTTAGGTTAGTGTCTTTGTGCCACTCCATCTCAAACTTGCTCTAGGGGTTATTAGGCCTAAAAATGAAATTTTTTTTAAAGACATAAAATTCAAAGCCGCCAGTTACACACAAGGAAGTTATAAAGGTTTCTAAACCTTACTCTCAATTTCTGTACTTAACTCATCAGTTGGTGGACGAGCACCAGGCCACGGACTATACTTGGAGTGGCACCGATGTAGAGCACACCATGAAGAAGGGAGAGGGGAGAACGAGAACCAGGAAAAAATGAATAAGCAAGTAGGAGAAAAACCAAGAGAGTTGAGTTTCCTAGAAGCAGCTGATTTAAGGAGATAGTGACCAGCTGTGTCAAGTGCAATATATTGTTGATAGATCAGGTAACATAAGGACTAAGAATTGATCACTGATTTAACGTTACAGAGTTAGTTGATGTGCTCAACCAGAGCTGTTTCAGAGTGATGGATGAGGAGATGCCTGATTTAAAGCAGGTTAAAAAAGAGTAGAAGAGGAATTGGAGAGAGTGAATACAGACAGCTCTTTCAGGATAAGAGAAAATAGAGCAGTTGATAGAAGGGGGAAATGGAGTTGAGAAAATACCATGTTTATTGATGGCAAAGATCCGGTTGAGGAAAGAGCTCATGGTAGGTGGCGGGGGTGGGTATCCTTTAAGATATGCGAGGGGAGGGTATGGAGTGCACAAGTAGAATGCTGGCCTTTGTCAGGAATGTGAACAGCGTTTGCACAGGAAGGTGAGAAGGCCCAATGGGTGACCCAGAGAGCTAGATGGATGGCTAGGGAGGTAGATGCAGGTGGAAGTTTTCTTCCAAATGCTTCTGTTTTCTTAGTACTTTGAGAAGCAAGGCCGTCAACTGAGAGAGAGGGGAGAGGGTTCTGGAGGTTTGAAGAGGGACATGGTCATCTGTGAGGCCATGCAGTTCTAGGAGGATATTTGGATAGCTTTGTGGGCAGAATCCTCAGTCCCTGGCCGTTCCTCAGTCCTCTACAGGTTCAGAGCAAGTTCTCAATTGCCAGTTCAACTGCTCTGTCCATTGGTTGGAAAGCATTGCATCAGTTGGAGATCGCTGTTAGTTTTTCTGTGTGAAATTAAAGAGCAGTGTACTGGTTTTTAAAATAGTATTATTGACACATTAACATGTTTGTTATAACTCTTTGTCAAACATAAATATTGAGTCATAGAAATATAAATATGGATAGTTTAAAGGAAAGTGAAGTAGTCTAGAGCGAATTCTTAGCGATTTTATCACTTGTCTAAAATATTGGTTCCATTTTTATTGTATGGGGTAAATAAGGTTTCAGGCAAGAATCCTAATAACCGAAGGTTTTTGAAATTATTTTATGGGGTACATTTGTACACCTATGATTAAAGGACTTTTCTTTTCTTGGCTAGTTAGAGACAGAAACACTTATTTTTAACTAAATTTTGGTCTGTATAAACTTAGTTTTCAGCATATGCAAAGGTTTTAAGCCAAAAAAAAAAAAAGGCAGCATAAAAGCACCATTAGCATATTATAACTTTCACAAATCCCATGTGTGATGTATCTGAAAAATATCTAAAAAAAAAACCATTTTCTGCTTTTTATTTCTAGAATTGGACATTTAAATAGCCCAATTTACTTTCCTGTTTGATTTAAAATATAAGTTCCCCACCAATCTGCTATCTAGCAAAATCAAACATTAAATAAAATAAAACATACTCCTCCATCCAGACATAAGCAAAGAAGGCCAGAGAATGTTAAAAGAATTGTTTAAAAGCTCCTACATAATGGTTCTGGACTTTTTAGATTCTCACCTTTCACCTTCTCCTTACTCTCATTTGACATACTTTTTTCAAATTTGATTTTTCAGTCAATAGATTAGAAACACCACCCTGAAGAAGAGCTGGAGAGGACCAATAGGGGCAGGTGCTGATTCATCCTGAGGTCAAAAGGAAGACAGAAAAGCTAAAAAGTAGTCATGGAATCTCTTCACAACTCAGTAGATAGATCAGTTTTTACACAGATGGCCCCGCGTCACTGATAAGTCATTAGATTGAGTTCGGTATACTCTAAGATGGCAGGAAAGCATGTCCCACATTTCCCAGATGCTGGTTCTTGATATCTAAGTCCCTCTAAGGCTGAATGTACGCATGTCCTTCCTCAGTGCGACCTGGGCGTGCCTTCTGACAGAAGGTACTGCGACAGTAAAGACATTTAAAAAGATTTTTTTAATACTAGAAGGTTAAAGATGTTCAGTGGCTTATTAGACTTGATAATCTATTTAAGTCTGAAGAGTTTTATGTATTAAAAACAGGTAGACAGAATCTCTTAATTTTTGTATTGTTCGGGCCATTAGAATAATATATGCAATGTTACTTGTTTCTAAAAAACCGGTGTTATTTATTACTACCTTTCGATATTCAATAATTCATCATAATCTTAATTCGCAAGTCACTGCAGAGTTGTATATACATTTGTATTCCCTAGATTGTTCTGTAGTTTTCATATTATATTACTGAACACTTTTATCTTATACAGTCTTAATTTACCTTTTTATTTTCTAGACAATGAATGGCTTCTTCAAGGGCAGATACCATCTGGAGAAATAGAGAGCATTTCCAGTCAACCAACCATCCAACTGCAGATCCCTGCAGATTGCTTATCACCTGAAGCTGTTATATCTGTCAGCGTGCTGCTTTATTACTGTAGTGCAGACAGCAGTGCCTGCATGATGAAGGGAATTTCGTTCAGTCAGCCTTTACAAATAACCCACGCACAACAAGGTTGCGCAGCCCCAGTAGAGCTCAAGTATATATTTTAGCAAGCTAGCTAGCATCCCAGTCTCCACAGCTGCCTGTTCTCCATCCTCACTGTAATTCATGAAAAGAAACTTTTCTGCTGCCGCTGGATACCAAGAAGCCCACTGCTCAGTTCTAGCAACTGATAAAGCTATACTTCTTATTTAATTATTTATTATAAGCAGATTTCTTCATTCTGGCCATATACCAGCTAAGTCACTGACCATCATTTGAACCATGATGTTATAACCGATGCTGCTGTTTAGCACAAGACTTAAGTCCACACTATAGTACAGAATATTATCATGAGATAATTTACAGTGATTACTGATAACAGTAATGATACCAAATGTTTTAACAATCTTTTTCTACCTTTATTAATAGCAAGCAGCACATTTGAATGTGTAGATTTCACAGTAACTTCAAAGAGAACCTAAGATCCAGTCACGTGTTGGTTATAAGGATACCCGGCATTCAAGTCATATGGTTTGTTTTAAGTGCCCCCCCACCCCCGCCCCGCCACCACCCAAAGAAAAGTCTTTTCATCACAGTAGACACTTAAAAGAGTGCCTGGGTGATAAATATGTCCTTTGTTCTCTTCTATGATTTTCTCAGTTGAGATATATTTAAAAGAGAATTTTTATCTATTTTTATTATAAATTATTTGCTATCTTAACATATTAATGCCTTATCACTCTGTACAGAAAAAGTTTAAGACAGAGTCTCTAAGGTATACAGACTCACCTCCTTTAACTGTTGTCTGACTGAACAGTCTTACCAGATAATGAACAAGTCCCTACAAGTATGACTCTCAAAGAGAAAGGGACTTAAGGACACATTCTGTCTGTGATACTGTTTAATGAAAAAGAATTAATTGTGATAGCTGAATCTTATGTATATATGTTGTCTTAGAAATTCACATTTAACTTGTAAGCTTTAAATACAGATTTATTGGGGGGTTTTGGTTCACATATTCAGAATTTAAATTATGATCATTTATTGTGATGTTTTTAAGAATCACTGTTAAGCCTTCAAAGTGAAAATGTCAATGTGATGCACTTTCATGCTATTAGTATGTATAGTATATCCTAATATATTACCTTTAAAATATTAAGGCAGAAACATATAGTGATTCGATGACACTGTTTTGGGTTTTCTTTTTAACCCCAGATGAAGATATTGCAAGTTTTTTTTTTGCTATCAGAATTTCTCTTTTTTAACTGTTTAAAAGCCTATTCTGGTTTTTACTAATACCAGTTCAACATGTTTATGCTATAATAAGCTTTCAAGATTTTTTCAAAAATCAGGTGAACCATATTTATTCAATAAATATCTATAGATAATATGGTATAACATACCTTCCCATCTTAAGAAAAGTGCTAAATTTGAAGTGTAATCTTTTAAGTACCGTCATCTACCCATTTCTATTTTTTTCAAATATAATTTTGAACATACTATTCACTTTTATACAGGTTACCTAAATCTCTGAAGTAGGGAAATGCATAGATCAAGACTTTGACTTAATTTGTAAGCTGCTAAAGCTATTTTAAAGAGATATAAGTTTAAAGTTAAAGGAATCTTGTTTAAAATTATATAATTTCCTCATAACCTTTTCTCTCCACAAAAAAAATATCTTCTGTAATAAAAGGATGTATGACATTAATCTCTTTTACGGAGAACAGGCCATAGTCGTTTTTTATTTTCATTTGCTTATTTTACTTATCGTTTCCAGTTGGACAAGATGAGAATAGTTTGGCTTAATCTTTTCCTATTTAAAGACATAGTTTCACTCGCTAAAAGAAGTTTATACAATTTTAACTTGCTAATTCAGATATACCTGATAATTTTTCAATATTGTACATAAATACACAGTATGTACTTTCATGTACATTAAAAATCCAAAAGTATTCCTTAGAATCTATTAATGTTCCCTTTGCCTAGGTTATTTAATATCAAGCTTATACTTTATTTTCAAATGACAGTTTTAATGAACATTATTCTTATCCAACTACCAGTCTGCATTATTTTTTTACATTCAAAATATTTATATGAGTATGATTTTTTTTATAAATCATACTAAAGCAATATAAATAGGTTCCTAGAATTTATGACTAACATAAACCTCTTCCTCTTAGAAGTACTAGAAAGTTTACTTTTAAAATTTTCTTGATCCTTGTCTGCCTTGTTTTCTATAAGAATGTCTGCATTTTTTTTAATTTTTGCTTTTCTTTGTGCATAAATTATGATGTCCAGTGATAGTTTAAAGAGTAAGATTTGGGTGTAAGTTACTTTAGGGTGCCAGTAATGCAGCGCTTTGACATAATACCTGGAATCTGTCCTAAAGATTCTGCTGGTTTTTGTTTTTTCCTCCACTCTTTGTGATGTCGTTTCACAAATGGTAGGAATTTTTTCTGCATTTATACACAGGATTGATAGGATCTCTGAAAAGAATTTTGCTTATCTTGAATATGCTGTCTCAAGCAAATATTTAACAACTATTCACAAGGAAAAACTTTACAGTTTAAACACACATAAGTGTAACTTTGGCAAAGTTCAGTGACTGAAAAACGATTTTCTCCTCAACTGTTTTAATAATTATAGTACTGTCCGGCCTGTAGAAAACTATAACACTTAACACAGCTAAAAAAAATGTTTAAGATTTATGAAGTATGTATGTATATAGATACATACAGATACAAAGATCAACTAAAGAATTTCTCACATAAATTCTCTTATCAATATATTTTTGAGCTCATACCACTGAAATAAGTTACTCTCTGTATTTCCAGAGTTGGAATATTTGGGAAGATATTGATAATACCATCTCTGTAATAATTTTCTGCCTGCACAAAATTTACTATTTTATATCTGCCAATTAAAAAGACTTTAGTCTAGCCACCGTGTTTGGCATCATGTTTAAGGTCATGAAAAACTAAATTCCATAGCTCACAATTGCATAAAAATATATCCAAAGGGCTATGTCAGCAGTGGTTCTCCCAAATGGTGGAATTATGGATATTTTTAATTCTACTTTTCTATATTTTTTTTCTCAGTGAGCAATGTGTTATTTTTTAAAAACCCAACTGGAAATGTTTCGTAAGGATTTTAAGTGAACTGAATAGTAAGCACTGTAACTTTTCAAATGTCACTTTTATTACCAAAGATCAAAACATAGTTTAGAGCTCCTGGATCTACCAGGTTTAAGTATGTGATCTGGTGAAGACAAATGATTATGGCTTTTTCTTCTGGTATTTTGTGTAATGTAATGGTTAAGAACAGGGACTTTGCAGGCAGTTGGATTCTAACCCTGTAAAATGAGGCTACTATACCTACCACATGGGGTTACTGTAAGGATTCAATGAAACTGTTTATAAAGCACTTGATAATTAAAGAAACTGCTAGTTATTGGTTTAGTTAATAATATATGACCATAAGCACATGGCTCGACATTTTCTCTGCAACCACAATTTCTAAAGGCAACTATTTCTTTGTCAACTATTTGATATTTTAATTATTCTCCATAGATTTGAGGTTCAAGAGAATTAGTTTTATAATCAAGCATGTTAATAGTCTATAAACAATGTTGTAGTGTTAAAGAAGTATACCTACAATTTTATTTATTTTTTTTAATTTTAAGACCTTTTAGAACTATGAGTAATAAACTTCCTTTGAAAGGGTCTAGACATACTCACCCTGAACCACATTCCTGTAACACACTCTGATGGTGCTTTACAAAATCTTCCAAGTGCCTTCATTCATTTTGCCTCATTTGAGCTTCACAGTAACCTGATGATCAGACAAGTAGATGTTATGTCCATTCTGCAGAACAGGAAACAGCTCTGAAATGTAGGTGACATAGCTCGAGATAGAGTTCCTAGAATAATGCCTGATGCCAGAGCCATGCCTGGCAGGAGCAGTTAGTTGCTCGGCCAGTCTTGTTAAATAACTACGGGGTCAATAGTGAGGGATGGAGCTTCTGTTTGAAAACATCTGGTTCCTAGCTCTACTCAGACGTAGAGTGAAAACAAACTGTGGAATTAGGAGTGCTCACTTTTGCGAATGCTTTAAGCTTTTGCAGTATTTAAATAAAATAATAAGAGTAACAGCTAAATTTATTGAGTGCTCGCTCTGTGCCTGGCACTTTTCTAAGTGTGTGAGATGTATTAACTATTTAATCCTCACAGGGTACTTTATGAGGGACTATTTTTCCTTATTTCTCTGATGAGGAAACTGGGACACAAAGAAGTTATAAGGAGTTTCACAAACATAGTCAATATCCTGCATTTAGGAAGTGGCTGAGCCTGATGAGTCTGCTCAACTACCATGCTGTTTTTACCTCTTTAAGTAGTTTTCTTAAAAACAAATCTTTCATAGTTATATATAGTAACTGATCAATCCAAGGAACCCAGAAAGTCCTAGTGATAATTGGTTTTGAAAGTTAATTTAAATCCATTTAATTATATAAGCTTTTTGGACTTTTCATTATACTCTCTTATCCTTCAAGGTTTGGAACAGCCTTTATAATTGATGTTCTCCAGAAGAGCTTCTGTACCATTCTTTCTTAAATTCAGATATTATCCAAAGTTTTTCTTGGCAGATGGATGTATTAAGGAATTAAATAGCTTTTCAATGTTAGTTCCAAAAATGCTATTTTAATTGATTTTCAAAAGGTAGTTATAAGACTCTGTCATAAAGAACAACTGAATTAACACAGAACTATCTCAAACCCCAAAAGCCTTATTTATATTTAAGAAAATTTTAATAATTAAAGTGAGCTCTAGAAACATCATAGTTGCCCGGTCTGTTAGCACACAAAAAGGCCTCTGATAACTTGCTTCGTAAATAACACTGGTGTGGAGCCCCCACCCACCAAACAGTGACTTGAATGTGTGCAATTCTATTATAGTGAAGTTTTCGCCAGGTCAGCCTATTAGTTCGGCTTTAGATATTATTAAAAGCAATGAGGTAGAATGCTCCATACCACCAATTATGATCCATGATCATCCAGGTAAAGGAACGTAAACATCTTTTCATTGTTAAATAGATTTCTAACTTAAATAACATTAACATTTGTTAATTTTGTTATAAAATCCCATTTCTAAAATCCATAAGGAACTATACAGCAGCTTAAAAAGGCAATGATAGTGTACTTTAGAAGTGGAAGTCACTGTTAGTCACCAGGATCACCTCCTTTTCTTCCTCCTGTGGCAGTTGGTTTATTTAAATAAATTCACACTAACCATCAGTCACCATTTCATTCTGAACAATTAAAAGTTTGTATTTTCCCATTTCCTTGCAATAGGGTAATATAAAGATTGGCATTATAAGTTAGAGGCTCAACTAATCTCACTGTGTGCGTTCCACATCCAACAAGCCATGGCCCTTTCGCGTGCTGGGCGCAGGAGAGACACTGCCTCTGGCTTTCCAGCGATCTGACCACGTGACCCGGTCAACTGGGACAGCTCCTCTGACTGCACCCCTTCTGTTTCCTAGGATGCTGATGTGGTTTAGTTCTTCTCAGAGGTTAGAGTTGGAAAGTGAAAACCCTAGATAATTGTTGTGGGGTGTTTTGCCTAGGTATAGTCATTCATTGTCTGGTGTGTCTTCTTTACTGGTATGTTGCTCTCAAGTGTACCAAAGGACATTTCATTCTGTTGAAAGCTCCACGATCAAAAGGAAAGAATTGCAATGATTTCCAAATACACTTCTCGCCTGTACCAGCAGCGGCACACTGAAAAGCACTGCCCAGCACAACGGAGCTAAACAGCAGGTCCACAAGGGCCTTATCACTGCGGCTGTGGCGGGAAACCCGGCCTCTAAGCAGCTGCTTACAAACCTGGTGTTTTTTAGTAAGACAGAGTTAAGCAAAATTGGCAGATCTTTTTTTTTTAATGTTGAAAATTTTAAACTATGAGTTAAATGGACAAACAGGATGTAGTACCCTTGGTTACATATTTACATTTGAAGTAAAGTGAGATGAGGCCCCATAATACCAAGTACAGAAAAAAGTTTAGCCCTCAGATTTAAATATGTCCAAATTAAACAGTATTTTTACGATTATCTGGTGTGCTGTGCTCATGAAAAATACATGTTAAAGTATATAGGGCAAAGCATTAGTTGGTAAATTATATGTTAAATTAGTTGGTAAAATACATGTTAAAGTATATAGGGCAAAGCATTAGTTGGTAAATTATTGTAATGAGGAGTAAAAATAGACGTGTTCCTTCCTAAAAATATGGGACTCCGCCATGTAACTCTCTTCTGTTTTTAGAATCTGTAGTCATTATTCTTAATCCCACCAGAAATGTAGTCATCCTGTGAGCATGCAGTGTTCACTGTCGTGTTCGTCACAGCATTCAAACTGTTAACCAGGCATTGTTCATGTAGAGTTGAAATGCACTGTTCATGCCTCTCATGTTCATCGTCCAGACTTATGTGAAGAACATACTGACCCCCCGCCCCCACCTCCATCCCAAAGCTGTAGGCTTCCCTCCCTCTAAAAACAGTAGAACTTTCTGTCAAAGTTTCATTGAGGAACCGCGATTACACCAATAACAGGTACAGCAGAATGATTTTGTTGTGGTAAATGTTTTTTCTAGAATCCCTAATATCTCAGTTTGCAAAGGAGAGCAGTACCCTTTGTGACTTTAAATAATTTCTCTCTACTTTGAGATATACCTGCCTAATTATATTTTCCATAGGTTCATGTGAAAAAGAAGTTTGACATTCTCACAGGGTCCATTGAGAGCCAGTTTGGAAATGTTTTAATTGCCATCATTACTTTACATGTGGATTATGGACAAATCAAAGTTTTCTCTGAACTATATCACAGAACTATTATATAAAATCATATGTATTTACTTTCAAATTTTAACATTTCATTAATTTGTTAAATTTCAGAGACAAATCTTTTCCCTCTTGTGTGTGGATAAAGTTGTGGTTTTATTTCTAAGAATAGAGTTGGTCTGCTGTGCTGACTTCATATCTGTCATTCCAAAGGTTTATCTTTTTCTTCAAAGATAAAAAATGCAATGGAAATTCAATTTACAAAGACATATATTGATATTTCTAGACATGGTCTAGTTCTAAAAGAATTTACTTGGTTTGCATTTTTTAAGCATTTCATGTAGACAGATTAATATATTTTTATACAACACTTTCTACATTTATTTCTAGGCTGTTTTCAGTGACTTTTTCAAGTGCATGTTAACAGAAGATGGTTTGGAACGAGTGTGCAGTGGCCTTCATCACCAACTCAAAAGAAGTGTAATACATATGATTATAGAACAAGAATGTTTATCCTGTACACTGAAACCTAATGACTTTTCTAAAGCTTTGTATGTTTTTTCATGAAGCAGATTAAATATTTTCTCTCTAAAGCCATGTTTCTGCTTTTTAATATACTTTCTGTGTCAAGTAGATCACAAAGTAATTTTACTGCTTAGAAACCTGTAAGTCATGATTCATTTGAACTTTTGGGAAAATGAGCTTAATACTTAGTTTAAAATTCTGCAAGCAAATAATTCAAAACAAAATGCAATCATAATTACAATAGATGTTTTTAAAAATACCATTTACTGACCTACTCAGTAAATGGTATTGGGAATATTTGGGAAAAAAATAGATCTCTACTTGACACTATACACATTTGAAAGGAATCAGTGCCAGAAGAAATAAGAGAATATAGCGTTGAGAGTGGGGAATCTAAACGACAACCACAGGCTCGCAGATGGAGACTCGATTGGTGGTTGGCGGGGGAGGGGAATAGAAGCAAAACGGGTGAAGACGGTCAAAAGGTACAGTGAAAGCTCCATACACAGACATGTGTAGACTGCATATTCACGCATACACGCAAATACATAGTCCCTGCTTGCACAATAAAAGACCATAAAAATGACCATGCAAGCTGGAACAGTACAATCTTAATGGGGAAAATATGATTGTTCCATGATCTTTAAAAATGTTTGTTAAAATATTAAAAACAAGTGTTAATTATAAATGTATGGAAAATTTTTAAAAAGTTAATGTTAGTATATTATAATTTAAAACATTACAGATACTGGAAATTAAAGTTTTTCTTTGTAAGGAAACTTAAGACTATTTGACCAGTGCTTGCTTGCTTCTCATCATAAAATTTATGATATAGAGCAAGTATCTTCTCTGCTATGGCAAACTGTCATACTCCTAAGTTTGAATCGGCTAACATTTTAATCTTTGCCCTTTCAATTATGCTATATTTCCAAGAGTTCCTTTAATGTGGATTTTTTTGTCAGTCACTTCCTCTGGGACATCATCCTTTTCATCACAGCTACTTTCCCGATTTATGTCGATAAGTTCACCCTAAGTTTCTCTTAGTATCTGGAGTCCCATGGTCATTCCCATGGTCAGCTATTTCTTTCTATAACTCTCTTTACATTCAATTCAAATTTCACTTCCGATGTTTTCACTTTTCATTTCTTCGCTGTATTTTTGTCTCATAGGCCAATTCCCTCTCTTGATTATCCATTTTTGTAAAATGTCATGTGGTTCTATCACTAAGAAACAAGAAGGCAACACAACCACACGATTTGTTGTCTGTGCTGAATAACACACTGACCAGTCACCAACAGACATTGAAAAAAGTGACATTGGTGACTGACCATCATGGGTCACATCTGTTATTACATAGTGATTTGTGGCCTGAACAGCTGACAGTGAAGTTTGTACTTAGGTAATTGCTCAGGTAATACACTATGGTATCAATTGCGTGGAATAGTGCGTTGGGGAGCGTGTTATTTAAACTAGTAACAAATTGTGCACATCAGAATTGGTCAAAGCAAGGACTGCCTATACATCGAAGAAGTAAATAAATGGAAAGACACAACAAACTCCTAATAACTATGTAGAGTTGAATACGGAGGGTAGAGAGGGACTAGTATTTATTTACCCTGCATATTTATCCTGCATATCTTACAAATTAATATTGTGATTTTTTTAGAGCAAACTAAGGTGGAAAAAGATACTTTGGTTTCCCACAACCGCATTGCTTGCTTTGTGTGCATCCTAGAAAAGTAAGCAGAAGAGTAACGAGAAGCTGTTGAATAAATAAATGTTTGTTGGGGGTGGGGGACCTATGATGGTTAACTTAGATTATGTGAAATCATGTAAAATGAAAGTTAATGTGTTAAACAGCTTAGTGTCCTGTCCAAAACACCAGCTTCATGCCAGCTGACCTGACACTATCAATAGCAGGATGGCCTTGAGCAAGTTACCTCACCTTCATCAACATTCAGTTTCCTCATCTGTAAAACTGGAATATTAATACCTCACAATTGTTTTATGATAATATTAGAAAAGCATTTAGACCAGTGACTAACAACTAGTAAATTCACCAAACATTGAGTCATTCATGCCATGGAGTTGTCTGCTCATGTCTTCAGATAAAGGTTGTAAGATAGTTGATCCAAATATGTATCACAGTGAGTGGGAAATGAAACCAGATGAACTCAAGTTCTAAACCATTCTAAGATTCTGTGATTTCAAATATATATGGAAAAAATTTGTTTAGTTCAAAATAATAATTTGTTATGCTTTGACTTTATAAGATAATATTTTTAGAATAGCACTATAACATTCATACATTTAAAGATACGCAGATTTTTAATGACTCAAAATTATTTAAAACACTTAGCCAAATGTGGCCTGTTAGTGTAAATAACTACATAACTCCAATCTCTAGCTAATTCAATTGCATTTCTGAACTAACTAGGCAAAAATCTTCTAAGAAAAAGTTCTTGAAGGGGAAAAAATTGGATATCCTTTTTTATGAATATTCCACAAAAAAGATTTGAAATATCCTTTATGTATATAAAACCTTACCTAGGATATTTTTAAACTCCATGGGTTCTCCAACATGTAGTAATTGTGCTATTTTACAGATTTATGACCTTAATCTTAAAGCTTTCCAAAAAATATATTGCTCTTTATTATGTTTTTTTTTTTCATGACACATGGAATACAACGATGATACTTTGTGCTCAGTTCTTAGCTTGTCAGATGTTAAGGAGCAGATATAATCAAGGAAGATGGATAAGTAAAATGACAGGTGAATTTATTTCCAAACTCCCGCGATCTGAAATGCCCCCTTCAGTACAGGAAGCAATCCCTCATCCAGTGATGTGTCAGTGCTGGCTTTTTCCCTCAAAACAGACAACAAGATTGCTTCGAATCAGTTTAGCACTATCAATCGATAAATATAAAATTGTGGCATATATATATACAATTTAGTATGTATAATTTTTGTGTATTTGACCAGTTGTAGTTTCTAGTTTCCCCTTTTTGACCCAAAATTCAAATTCTAGTCGACTTAGAGCACAATTTTAGTAAGCAATAACTTTGATCACATTTTGCAAATTACAACTTAAATATGTGTCCAGCATATTTTAGTTTGGTTGCTAAGATAAGCTGACAGAGAGTATCACTGTATCTGTTGTTACTTCTTCCACTTATTGAAGAAATCACTGGACTGCCATGAGAAGATGAGGGAATCCCTGAGAAAGGCTGAATTCTGTAATTCTACCTACACAAGAGCATTTATTTACCCTAATATTTTAAGATTTTAATTTGAAAGTCAGCTCATTGAATTACATCTCTTTAAATTGAAATTGTTCTGTATTTGGCATTTTATTTGAAATGACACCACAACCAATCCCCTTATTAGAGTAAGCAAGATGTGGATAAATATTTGGAATATCATTTATCTCTCCATCTTGGAAAGGGAAAAACAATAGCTTGCCCATGTTCAGGAAGCTGGCGTGCCCTAGGAATCCAAGCTTTGCAATGGAAATAATGAGGCTATTTACCCTGTGCCTCAGTCTTTGGGCAGAAACACAGCTAAGTCAGCCTTGCAGAAAGTCAAGTAGAAAAGATAGCTGCTTTGATTTGTTTAACTTTCTGGAGGAAGAACAAAATAATCATCTGTGTGGCCCAGAACCTAATGTGATTTCCTTGCACCTGGTTATTACAAACCTTAAAATATTGGATGTTTTGCTATGGTTCAATGTTGTAGATGAAAGATACAACACTGGATATTTTAATAACTCATATTAATAAAGTACCTCTGCCAAATTCTACCATAATGAATGAGGTGATGGAGAAGCTGCATTTTAGTCACAAGATCAACCACCAAAATATAAGGACCTAGTCTGTTTTGAAATGCTACTTCGCAGCCTTTATGAGCAGTACAGCCTATTAACAGCCTTGCCAAGAGATTATCTCTTACATCAAATCTGTGTATCTTGCTCAGCATTTAAGCTTTTCATTTTTTTGCTCAATGAACACATATACCAGCTCTTTATAACCTTAACCTTCTCTAATAAAGTTAATCATTTCATATTTTAACATTTTCTTCTATATTAATTCCCCAGATATATGCCTCCTAAGTTTTCTTTCTCATGCTTCTGTTTTCTGTCAACCCTCCCTGAACTGTTCATGGCCACCTAAAGTTATAAAGTCAAGAATTAAGCAATGCATGCTGTGGAAACATAAATGGATGCCAGAGATTAAGCACACTTCCAAATCGTCACATGAGGAAGTCTAAGGACCCTCTTTCAAGTGAACAACCATAATTGGTGAAAATTATTTATAAATAACCTTTGAAGGTCTCTGTTAATTGTCCTAAGTGTATGCAGCGAATGAAGAAACATGCAAGAAAATCTACTAGAGAATCCACGACCCACTCCCTCACTCCCCCTGCCCCAGATCAGTGCAACAGAAACTCCACTCCAGGGATGTGTGGCCAACAACACTGGCCTCCTTGTCCCCAAGTCCCCAGTAAAGGGCTATAGTAGGTCCCCAAGGCTTTTAGCATTCAACACCCCCCACAACACACACATGTACACAAGTGTTGAAAGGCTAAATGCCAGGCGAGTTGAGCCAAAAGGTCAGAGGACCCCTTCCTTCACCCAGCCCCATTGATACAGTAGGTGCATAGCAAGCCAAGAATACTGGGGCCTTGGACTCCCTCATTTACCTCACTCATTGGGCATAAGTTCCATAGCAGAAGACACAAGCTAAGAAAGCCAGAGGCTATGGCCCCCACCCAGTGCCATCTTCACAAAGCATGAGTGTCGCTCCAAAGAAGCAAGGCACTGTCTCCACTCCCATCACCAGAACAGTAATACAGAGAAGCAGAAATGAAAGAGACATTATTACTGACATTATAGAAGTAAAAAGATTATGAATGAATAATATGAATAATTTAACTCAGATAAAATGAAAAACTTCTATAAAGACTAACATGATTGAAACTGACTCAAGAAGAAACAGAAAATCTTAAAAGATTTATAAAAACAGATTGAATTTGTATTTTAAAAACTTTCCACAAAAAAATTCCCAAGAA